CCATAACAACAAAACATATATGTTAATCATAAAAAATATTTTACACGAATTAAAATGTTTATAATTCATATTTTATTACAAGTTTAAGGGACTTACCTTCCAACCATTGCTTATCATAAGCTTCTGCCTCGAGCCTTTCAGAAAAGAAGAAAAAAACCCTTCTGGCTGGGCAATTATTCTTCTAACTTCAATATATGGTATGGACACTTCTTCATTTTTATGCCTTAATTAATGACCTTCAATGGTGTTTATATACCAGCTCTCAAAAGATAAAGATCAGATTTATTTGCTAGTTTACATATTCTCATTCTTTACTTGTAGTTCGAGCATGCACACAATATAATAGTAGAAAAGTAGCTGATTTAGGGATCTTACTTTTCATCCTCATCTTTATTTTTACAAGATATGAAAATTACTAAACGAAGTCCAAACAGTTTCGACTTCATCTGGATAAAATAATGAATGAAATTTCGGACCTTAGCAATTTTTTTTTTTAGCGGAAGATCAAGTTTTCAGGTGTTTCCACGAAAGAAGTCAGGCGCGCTCTTGAAGAAAGCTCTTCAAGCCAAATTTTTTTTTTTTTCTTATTGTGAAAATCTAATTGCGTTGATAAAATAATAAAAAAATGACTGAGTTAAATATAAGTAATGCTATTTTGTTTATTACAAATTAAGTTTAAGTTGGATATAAACTTTATATTAAAATTCAAGTATGTAAAATTTTCCTATTTGCAAATAAATAAATTGGCATGGATTTTTTATTTCTTATTTAACAAAGCATGCATCTGTTTGATCTAGCTGCTTTGAACAGCCAATGGAAATATTGGCAAATCAATTGGAAAGCCTTTTTCTTTTCTTTTCTTTTTTTCTTTATTGACAAGATAGAGATCTAATACTTGAATTAAATTCTACTCTGCTTATGTTATACTTAAAGTTAACATGAGATTTAGTCACATATTCTCATTCTTCAATTCAACTTATGAAGAAAAGCATATGACTGGAGATCTTTGCTTTCATACTAGTGAAAGAAAAGCATATGATTAAGGACCTTCTTATTTTCCTATTTTGAGAATCAACCTTTGGTTGTTTTTTATTTTTCAATTTTTTTTGAAAATAATTAGTACAATTTTTTATTTAACATATTTACAACTAAATCAGACATTAAATTTGTAATTTTAAGTTTTTTTATCTTTAATTTTAAATAAAAAATAATTTTTTAATAAGTATATTAAAGTAAAAAGTATCTATATCTATACCCTTTCTCCTTTTCCTTTTCCAAAAAATGATTTTCTTTTTCAAATGCCAAACAAAATTTTTACCCCTTTCCACTTTCATTAGAAAATAGAGATGGAAAATAGTCCTATTTTCTAATGCCTTTCGAATATTTTGAAATGAAGAAAGTTCTACATCTAGGAAAAATAAACAAATAAATGGATTTATATATGTTCACCCTCTATCCTTAAAAAATTATGGAAAGTTAAAACTCTTGACCAGTAAAAATTGGGTTTAGGCCTAATCCTTTTATATTATCATTTAAATAGCACTTGAGGCTTTGACCTATTAGAAGAAAAACTATTTTTTAATTAATTTCAAAATTTTAATTTAATTTTGTTTTTTTGAAATTGAAAAGATGTGTATGAAATTTAAACACAACTTTTGATAGCTACAAGATACCTTTTTGAGCAGTGCTAGGGGCACTCGCCTCTTGCACTCTCCGGCCAACACTTCCCCTTTTATTGGGCCATGTAAGCTTGTTTCAGGCTTTGAGTGCAACTTCTTACTGACCAGAATAACGTGGCCCAATAAAAGTGAAAGTGTTGGCCGGAGAGTGCAGAAGGTGAGTACCCCTAGCACTCCTCTACCTTTTTATAATGATATCTTTCTCTAGGGATACAGCCCTTTGGCAGTTATTTTTCTACAAAGACATCCTTTCAATAGATGTTCATTTGGTCAATATAGATTCCTTTAAATAGAGTTCATGTTTCATACCTAATTTTAAGAGATTTTTTAATTTTATTATATTTTGGAGGATTTTTGAATTTTTGAAAGAGGCGATATCATGTCACAAAGCTTTCTAATGCTTCTGTTTTCTTCTTATCTTTTTCTAACAACAACCATCCCAGCAGCTGCTTCGGCATTACTCTTAATTAAGGCCAAATAGTAAGTAACAATGCGCAGAGACTTATTTTGTTAGTTACATTGTTCTCATTCTTTGCTTCAACATATGCAAAGGTGATTACGGTATAGAAAAGTAAGTAATGGAAGATCTTTCTTTTGGTCCTCTTATTTCTTACCCAAGATATGTAACTTTTATTCGATTTTGTAAAACATGCCATGGGTGCATAAGCGGCTTGTAATTATATATTATTACAAAGAACCATAAAAAAGGAGCATTCTCAGATTACTATTAGAACTACCATTCGTTTGAATACAAATTAAAAAAAAAAAAATACTACATTCCTTCAAATTAAAAATAAACTAAATTCAAGCCAATATATATCGATTTTTTTGCTATTAGAAAATCAATTAAGATGCATTTTTCACTTTCGTTAACTTTATCAATTTTGTTATGCCATATGTTTTGAAGCATGGAACGAGAATATAAAATTACTAGTGTCATATTCAATTTTTTTTTAACTTTGATATTGTGCCAAACGATTTTGATTTTTCTAAAATATTACTTTCTCATAAATTCTTATGTTTTAAATGAAAATTTTAAAATATTTGAGCTTTAATGTGACGTAGGAAATTAACGCAAAAAATTTGACAAAGAAAAGAGAGATTAAATTGAATTATTCGCATTTCTACTTAATTGCAAACATTTAAAATGCATGTTTCATTCTGCAGACACCAGAGGGAAACAGAACAAAGCATGGGGATTTAAATGTCAGCCAGGCCAAAGTCAAGGACGGGAGAAGACTTTCAATTTCAAACGGCGTCGTGTTGAATCCAGGCCTTGAAAACCGGCTCAATCGATTGCCTTCTCTCTGGTGCCGTTCTGTCCCCTTCTTCTTCTCATCCCGTCCAGCCGCCTTTCCGTTCATCCTCATCTCTCCGTTTCCATTACTTGTCTCACACATCCAAAAGAAAAAAAAAATGCAGAAGATCGTTTGGCATTCAATGATCAAGGGCTGCGAAGAAAGAAGAGGAAATTGGTGGGCTGTGATGGAGAGAAGACTAGGTCTAGGTGATCTCTTCTTCCTCTATAAATTAATAGGGATCTTTTTTCGCTGGGATTTTTTTGGGGAGGTCTGAAAAAAACAAAAGCCGACGGTAGAGAAACAAAGAGAGATCCGAGATCCTCGGGCTGCCAGCGGAGATATTTCAAGTTCCCTACTGCTTGTAATTTGATCTGGAATTTAAGTGAAATACTCCTCCCCTTCAATTTAATGTAGTTTATTTGCAGGAATGACAAACTGCTCAAGTTCTTCTCCGTTACTGTTTTGTGTTGATGTGATGAATACTTGAATTCATCAAGTTTAATGGACCGATTCAACATTAGGTCTCCTTAAACTTGAATTTGTGTCTTTATTTATGTTGTTATTGTGGGTTTTGATTTCTGGAAATTCGGGCTTTTATAATCAGACTTAAATTCTTTGTTGGGCAAAATTTTGATTTTTGGTTTGCATGTGCGTGGTTATGCCACAAGTTTCATGATTTCTTTA